CTCATTTTATCTTGCTTTCCCTTCATATGTAGATTACAAACCTGTTTTATTGTTAACCATCAGAATAATAAATGTCGGTAATAATTTCTGGTAATCAAGTCTGACAGCAGTCTTTGCAGTATGTATGCTGATATTGAACTAAATTTCCAGTTTAGTGAAATATGAGGAAAGTTTATTTTATTTGTGCTTATAATAACACAATATATTTATTATAGAAAACTGCAATGCATTAAGGAAAAGAACTCATTGATAATTCAAGTGTTGTGACTGCCACAGTAAATAACTGCTATGTATTTCCTTTGGGTCTCTTTTCCCTGCTGTCCAACATTGCTGTGCAAATTTGTGATGAAATGAATTAGTTTCACTCCAATGTCATCTGTGAATTGCCCTGAGAATAAACATTCTGGTTTTACCAGTTTTCTATATCATCCTTCCTCAACTGCCTGGATTCCTACCGAGTGGCAGAAAATTCGATTGAAAATACAGTAGTATATGATTAGTGAAATGACACGTGTCCTTTAGATCCACCATTTATTTTGTCAGATGGGTGGAGGACCAGATGCATCGTGTTGGTAGAGGCAATTGCTCAGGTCTGAGTACCACAGAGTTAAATGTATTGTTGACTGAGACCCATCACAAGGCAGACAAGCTTAACTGTGTCTATACTTAGTGAACCAAAGGGTATTATATTTTCCTCCTTAATCTATCAAAGTATTAATAACTGCTCCATTGTCTAACTTTTGGCAATGCAAAAGTTCTGAACAGAGGAGGGAACCTATCGATAGCAAGATATTCCATCAATAGCAACCAATTTCAGTGTAAATTGGGCTGGAGGCAAATACATTCTGTTAGCCAGCTCCCTTGCTAGCTCCAGCAAGTCAGTGGAGGAATGAAGTAGGTCTCAAGATTCCAGTTTTCTTATTACCTCTATCTGCACTTGTTCTCAGTGCAAACTGAGTGAATTAAACCATGTTAGGCTACTTGTTTGTTTTTTTGGTAAGTCCAAAGTTTATTATCCCAAACTCAGAGGGTATATGTTTGAGAATGCTTGTAAGAAAACTTTTTCCATGCAAACTTTGAATAGTTTTATAAATCAGGAAAGAAGCACAATTGTCAAAAGGCACATTTCTCCATCAAGACTTGCCTTGTGTGTGGTGGCTATGCACATGCTGCACTGGTTTCCCATTCCTCCTGAGGATGTCTCTACCACTCTGCATCTGGCATCTTCTCTGGGAAGTGTTACCTTCTATTTATTGCCTTTAATCTGGGCTAGACATCCATCTTTAGGATTTCCTTGGCACTCTGACACACCATTAATTCTGACACACCATCAGTTCATGGATTCTCAGAAAGGAGTCTGACCCACTTTCTTGGAAAGGAATTTGGTTTGAAACTCCTTCCCCAGTGATTGCACTGTGCACTGAATGAAGACAGATGTTTTATTTAATGTAAATGCTGAGTCTTCATTAAGTTTTGTGTTACACACAGAGGGACTACATTAGCATGGGCTCTTAAGCCTTACTTTCATGAGTACAAAATCACACAGCTCCATAAAACCTTCCCCGAGTGACTTATTCCACTGCTGGCTGGCTGGTAGCCTTCAGCTTGCCTTTAATGGATTAGACTCAAAACAGGGCTGGCAGTAAAGAAATAAGGAAAAGGTTGGGGAGGATTCTAGTTCTCTCTGCTGTGGGTTTTGTCTTACATCTTCTCCTGTTTTGTGCCAATAAACTTTTCTGTATTGTATATTAGCCCAAATCAAAGAAACATAAAACTTTTCAAAACTCTTCACATATGTACAAATCCGTTCCCCAAATCTCACCAAGTTAGCAGCATTTCAAACAGTGAGATGCAGACTAGTAATAGCTACATCTTCACAATGCTCTTATGAAGTGATATATTCCATTTTTCTAGAATGAGGTAAAATGTATCTCAAATACATATTCATAAATTTTCAAATAAACATGTAAATGAACTAACCTAAAATAATTTGTGGCAAAGAGCTCTGAAGTCCTGTGTTTAAGTGGTGAAAAAGTTTAAAAATATGTTAATTGTACATATTTATGGAATGCAGTGTGGCCTCTCAATCCAATAGAATACATAATGATCAGACCAAGGTGAATGGTTTAACTAGCTCCTTAGACATTTGCCATTCTTTTTTGTTGGAAAGACATAACATCTCTGCTAACTATCTAAATTATTCTATTACCTGTCAGTCATAGTGACTAGAACAAACTGGAGTCATTTTTCCTGTCCATTTGTAATTATAACCTGGTGAAGCAGCCATGTACTTTCTTTTTTTAAATAAAATTTTATTTAAATTCAAAACAATCTTATTTTGCATACCAATCCCAGTTCCCTCTTCCTCCCATCCTCCCATGCCCCCCATCAATCCCCCAATCCCAGGCCCTATCCACTCCTCATGGGGATCATCAAAGTCTTTCACATTTGGGTCAGGATCTAAGCTTCACCCTTGTATCTAGGCTGAGAGAATATCCCTCCATAGGGAATGGGCTCCCAAAGCCCATTCGTGCACTAAGGATAAATACTGGTTCCACTGCCAGAGGAGGGAAAAGAGATTAAGTAGGCTTCCCAAGGTCAGGTCAGAGATTGTAAGAGGATGAGAAGAGGCTTCTTCAGTTTTGCTGACTATTGCAAAGCCGGATTTCCCAGCTCCTGGTGCACATGCGGGCTAGGGCTACCCTTATTATCTTAAAGACTATAATCATTTTACGTTTCCAGGGAAGTAAAAAGGGGCAACAAGTAATATCTATGTTGATAACAGAATTTTTTCTGAATTCCACATAAATATTTGCAAGTCACTTGGGAGATGTACAAAGAGTCTTAGACAATTACTTCCAAATATTTATGTAGATAATTTGGGCTAGATTTACAGTGCAAACATGCCTTTTACTATCTCTATACTACCAATTAAATATATTTTATTTAATTTGTCTTCAAGGCTTGAGGGCTGTCTTATACTTTCAAAGGCAATAATAATTAAAATGAATTAAAACAACAGAAACACCCACAATACACTATAAAGGAAGACCCAGCCAGATAAAGCCCTTCCAAAGCTGCTAATTTTGTCAGTGAGATTCTGGGGTCAAGGAACTGCTCTGTGGCTTACTAACAGTGCCTCTTCTTCCATTCCCTCTGAGGTTTTTGTTTTAGAACTGGTGGTGCACACAGCGGTCAGATGGTAGTGTTTTCATCATTTCATAGTAATTTAATCATTTATTCAGTGAGTGGTTCTCAACGTAAGTTTCACGACAGATGGTTTACTGCATTTCCTAATTTTCTGAGGAAGCATCTGATTCTATTTTAACATACCTGTTGCATTTTTTACTTACTGATACATGTTCCTCTAGATACACTCATACCCTTCTATCCAATCAATCTGAACTTTAAACCTTGCCTTTCCCCTCTCTAATCCCATTGTCAGGCCATGAATGATTAAATTGATGAATTGCTAAACTCTTAACTTTTCTTGTTGGAGGGACTCTGATTTGTGTCTCTTTTGTGAATTTTTGAAATCCTACAATATTTTTTAATTTTAAAGATTTACATAGTTTAATAACATTAAAAAATGGGGCTGAGGCTGATGCTCAGTTATTTAATATCTAAGTGCCCCTGGCTTAGATCCCTAGTATTGAAAACCAAACTGGAAATGAAGCAATCCCACCAATATCATTGTTTGAGTTTCTTTCCAGCCGGATCCCACAACCAATTAGCCCCAAATAAACACACAAAGATTTATATTAATTTATAAACTGGTTGGCCGATGGCTTAGGCTTTTTATTGGTTAGTTCTCTTTTCATTATTAACCCATTCCTATTAGTCCACATATTGCCACGAAGCTGTGGCTTACCCGCAATCGAGCATGTTACTCCTTCGGCAACATGGCATCTCTTTGCCACCTCTCTCTGCCTTCCTCTCCCCAAGCTTCCCTTCCCCTGGTCTGGTAGCCCTGTTTATCTTCCTGCCTGGCTATTGGCCAATCAGTGTTTTATTCATCAACCAATAAGAGAAACATATATACAGAAGGACATCCCCCATTAATCCTGTGGTACCTAGCATCAGCTTTCATCCTCATTCTGAGATCATTCAGACCAGTCTCTGTTGGCTCTCATAGTCAGTTCCTTGCTGGGATCCACAGTAACCTTGGTGTAGGTGTGGTGTATCTGTGGATCGATACCTGTAATTTTAAGTAATTTTCTGTGGAGTGCCAATAACTGCTGGAGGTGGGTGTGTGTCCAGACACATGGAGGTCCCTGAGTCCTTGGGAAGCGATGCAAGTGGGTGGCCACACAGGATCTCAGGAGATCATTTACAGCATGTGTAATGCAACAAAATGGAACAAGTAGCAGAATTTCTTGCCAAGTAGGTCTCTTTCTTGGCAATGTTTGGCCAGTATCATTTAAAAGTTTTACTCATTTTCCCAGCTTGGCCTGAAAGATTAAGAGCGGTGTCACGTGTGCAAGCTCCTTGTTAATTCTCTGTTCGGTTAGGTAGCATTTCTATCCAGCCTGGAATGCGCACATCGTAACCAGCAAGAATCGGTGGCCTCTGCTGGGTTGAATGCCGGTAAAGTCTACTTCTAATGTCCGAATGGGCAGGATCCCTGTTTCTGTGACAGCAAGACGGCTTAGGTCCCTGCTTGAGGTTGTTACAAGCTTTCATCTCCGGTCCAGATTGTATTCTTTTATTTTATGTGCATCTGTGTTTTGCCTACATGCATATCTGTGTGAGGGGCTCAGATGTTGGAGTTATACAGTTGTGAGCTGCCACGTGGGTCCTGGGAATGGAATCCGGCTCTTCTAGAAGAGCAATCAGTGCTCTTAATTGCTGAGCCATCTCTCCAAACCCCAGTTTGTATTCTTTTGTATTCTAAAACCACAAGATGGAGGGGGCAAACAAGCAAGCGTTAGCACTACCATAGTCTCAGTGGTACAGCTACAGAACACTGTGGAAATAAGCCATTTTCCCTCCCTCTTTAGGTCTCATCCAAAATGAGTGAGACGCCTTCTACTAGTTTCTCCATGATTCATCCGATGTCTTCTGAAGGTCAAGTTCCTTCCCCTCGTCATGCAAACATCACTCGTCCTGTAGTGGCCAAACGCATCAGCTTCTACAAGAGCGGAGATCCCCAGTTTGGCGGTGTGAAGGTGGTAGTCAATTCTCGTTCCTTTAAGACCTTCGATGCTCTGCTGGACAATTTATCTAGGAAGGTGCCCCTGCCCTTCGGGGTGAGGAATATCAGCACGCCCCGTGGAAGGCACAGTATCACCAAGCTGGAGGAGCTGGAGGACGGGGAGTCCTATCTGTGTTCCCACAATAGGAAGGTGCTGCCAGTTGACCTGGACAAGGCCCGCAGGCGCCCGAGGCCCTGGCTCAGTAGCCGTTCTATAAGTACGCACGTGCACCTCGGCTCTGTTACTGCCGCAATGCCCACCACTGCTCCTGCCATGCTTCGCGCTCCCAGGAGGCTCGTGGTCTTCCGGAATGGTGACCCGAAGACCAGGCATGTGGTCCTTCTCAGCCGGAGAGTTACCCAGACCTTCGAGGCCTTTCTGCAGTATCTGACACAGGTCATGCAGTGTCCGGTGACCAAACTTTATGCCACAGATGGAAGAAAAGTGAGTATTTCAGTGTGTGTGTGTGTGTGTGTGTGTGTGTGTGTGTGTGTGTGTGTGTGTACACTTGTGCCTGTGTGTCTGTACGTGCATGTGTGCGTTCTAGTTGCCTTTGTTTTCTTGACAGAATTTGAGGGGTCATTGTGGTGGAAGGTTTCTGCTTTCTCCTCTTCTCTTGTTCTTGAACACTGACTTACAATGTTTCGTTAAAGAATACCATTTTTCATAGTATCCCTTGGAAGGGAGTGACCCAGAGTAGCGTTTTCCTCTCTATAAAAAGCATTTCCCTAGTATTCTTGTGCTGGGTCTGCAGGGTCTGTGGGGTCTGCAGTTAACAGAAAGTACACAAGAGATCACCTTTCAGACTTGATATCCCACAGGCCCTTGCTCAGGTGGTGCTGGATTGGCATGCACTTGGCTATAACTGCAGACTTTGGTGGGGAATATCACATTAATTTTAAAGATACTTTAGATATTCCAGAAAACAAGCTTGCCACTTTCTAGCTAATATGCAAGCTCATAATATGCAAGTGTCGATGGATGTTTATACCGGTTCCCTACCCTGTCTATTTTTGTGTGTATGACTGGCATCTAAAAAAATGCTTAGAGATCATTTCGTTTCAAGCCTGGGACGCTATCATATTGAGCTATTTAAAGTTATGAATATACCACAGGTAAGAAAAATACTTGCTCATGTGAGAACAGTGATTCTGGTTTCTTCTAGGTTCCTAGTCTCCAGGCAGTGATACTGAGCTCGGGAGCTGTGGTGGCAGCTGGAAGGGAGCCATTTAAACCTGGAAATTATGACATCCAAAAGTACTTGCTTCCTGCAAGGTTACCAGGGATCTCTCATCGTGTGTACCGGAAGAGTAAACCTTCCTTAGAAAAAAGAAAGAGTAAGTAACTTACAAATAGACCTTATTAGTTCTGAAAGGAGTTTTTTTCTTTTTGGTCTCACCAATAAAATATTATATTTAAAGTACCAGGTTCACTCATCACAAAAAAACAAAATATGAGAGTATTAAAAGTATTCCAAAATGAAATTGATTAAATTATAGTAGGAAATAGTCACAGATATCTGGTGACTTTTCTAAAGACTTTTCCAAATAATCAATAATACATATTTTTACATGGGTGAAGTATGCTTGTTTTTTTTTGTTTGTTTATTTGTTTGGTTAAACAAAATGTCACAATTTCTTGCTTTGGAAAGAGTTTTGTGGAACTGTGTATGTGACATCTGTGGTAGTCATAGGTTTTTGTCTGAATGAGCATTCATAGATGAGTTCAGCAATTTAGTAGTCTATATGTTAAAAAAAAGAAAACTAGATATATGCCCTCTCCCCTGAAGGTATTCCTGTAAAATCATCAATCCTTGGGAACATATTTTTGATTGAAATAAAGTAGTTCATGAAGACAGTTCATGCTAGTAACAATAATCTAATTTTTGAAAATTTTAGGATTTTATTAACAGTGTGGTATTGTCCTCAGGACAGGAGAAAAAGAGGGCATCTTGAGGCCCAAAATCGTGAGAGAGGCTAGCCCTGTTATTTACTGTGCTCATTTTTGCCAAGGAAATATATAAGGTCTGTGCTAGTGTGCTGATTGTCATTTGTACTTGAATTTTCATTCTCTTTAGAGTTGGAATAATCTTCATTTTAAGGAGTATTAATCCCTGTTCTTATCACTAGCTTGGCTGAAATAACTTATCACTTTCACCTGCTTTTGTTACTTAGATATACAGAACTTATACTACCAAACATGGCTACTTGCCTGCCTTTCTTACTTAGATATACAGAACTTATTCCACTATCCATGGCTGCTTTCCTGCCTTTGCTACTTAGATATACAGAACTCTGTTAGAGTCTAGTTTTAGTATTGGTAAGCAAATAAACCTCACAGCAAATGCTATATACTTCTTATTAATATTCCTTTATAAAGTTGTTAAAATTAAAATTATATGAATGTCTCCATTAAAGTATGAATAGCTTATTTTTTGATAGTGGTTTGAAAAAACCCCAGAAACTTCAGTAAGATTTCTCAAATAACCATTAATACATACAGTTTAGAAATACATCTGAAACATTTTATTGTAGGATACAGAAAAACAGAATTTTGTACTAATTTTTCCTTTTCTTCTCTCTTTGCTGCTTCTTCCTTGGGATATTTACAACCTCTCTGCTTTCCATGTTGTGTTTTGGCATGGCATCTTTTACTCTTAAAATCTTGAAAGTGAGCACACATATGCCTTCAGCCCTAGGCCCCAAGATTGAGTCCCTGGTGTCTGAGAAAACATATGACTGCTATTCAGAATATTCTGTGGCCCCAGAAAATTACTTGGCCTTAGAAAAACATGATTCTCAGAATCTATCAACGTATCCTTCTGATGATGGTGTTGAGAAGTCAATTATTTTTAATCAAGATGGCACTATGACAGTTGTGATGAAAGTTCGATTCAAGATAAAAGAAGAAGAAACTGTAAAGTGGACAACCACTGTCAATAGAGCTGGGCTTTCTAACAATGATGAAAAGAGTAAGAAAAGTAGTTATCCAGCAAGAACAGATGATCGATCATCTAGTTTGAAGCTTGCAGCGTGTTCATTGTCTGAGGACGTCACAGACACCACTCAGCAGGGCAGTTTGACAGAGGAAGAAAACACTCAAATGACAGTGCAGCAGGCTGACTCATGTATCTCTGCTGGTTGGGAGAATGCTTCAGCGGATGCAGACATTATTCAGGGATGCCAGAAACAAGTGAAACATTTCTATAGGCCCCCAACCCCTGGGCCAAGGAGAAGGAGACAGAAGAAGTCTGTGATAGGGACTGTCACTGTAGTATCTGAAACAGAGGTTCAGGAAAAGCAGTTTTCCTATAGTGAAGAAAGAGAGAGTGGAGAAAAATCTGAGTACCACATGTTTACACATTCTTGCAGTAAAATGTCATCAGTATCTAATAAACTTGTTCAGATCCATAGCAATGATGATGAATTGGAGCCAACATTAGAAAGAACAAATGAAAGTGGCCTGATCAAGTCAAACGCCATAAGTGCTGGTGCTATAGAAATTACAAGTCAGAAGGTCTTAAAGTTGTGCCATAACAATGGTTTACCATCCTCTGTTTCAGAGAACTCAGTTGTGGAGGAAGGCATTGTTGGTAGTGTAGTATCAGACAAAGATGGTACCAAGCATTTCAGAATGTATGGTAACACCAATGACAAGTTCAGTTCTATTTCAGCAGATAGAACTCTTTCCTCAGGTGAAAACTGGGGAACTGACAACAGTATTTCTGAGGTTCCTTCTGTTGAATCTTGTACTGAATTTGCTCATTGTGGCTTAGCAGAACTTCGAGAAAACAGAAAGAATGGTTTATCCTCTTTTCCCAGCAGAAAGAAGAAGAAATCTCCACAGCAAATGATAAATTCCAGGTATAAGAAAAAAGCGATCGAAACCAAAGGAACCTCTAATAAAGTTGGGAAAATAAATAGTGAAGGAACAATTGCACGGGGAATACTATCGCAAGATCCAGACAGTCCTCTTAAAAGAGGGAAACTTTGTGAGGAATGCCTTGATACAAGTGATACAGTAGTCGAATCAAGTAATTTTCCTCCTCAAAGTAATCTCAATATCAAAATTTCCAAGAATTTCCATAAAAATAAACTTAATGCTTTTCAAAATCCTAAGACTCAAAGACTTTTAGTCAAAAGGAAATCCAGACCAGTAAAGGTTGTAAGCTTAGGAGGACTCAGAAAACAAGAAACTGGTCAAGGAGATAAAGTATTTCTCCAGAGCAAGTCTAACCTTTTTAAAGGTAATTTGGAAAATCAAGGTTTGCTTAATGTGTTTAATATCCTTGAGGAAAACCAGAAAGTTTTCCACAGACCACAATCAGAAATGGAGGTAGTAACTGGAAATTTGCGAGGAGTGACAAAAAAGAGTTTAGTCCCAAAACTTAATGATTTGCACATAACTTTAAAAAACCAGAAAAAACAAAAGGTAGATAAATTGAAGTCAGGTGCTATAGTAAGTGAACAGCATGTTACAAACAGGGCAGATCTGTTAGCTTCTTTGAAAAAACCAGATTTTTCTGAGGGTATTCCCCATTATTCAGTTAAGAACTATGTACAGAGATGGTTACAGAACATAAATCAGTATCAAGATTTTGAGCATAGAAAGTCAGCCCCAATAAGCAAACATGGAAGTAATGTGGTAAATTATAACAGTAAAGGTTTTCCAGGAAATAATCTCCACACAACTTCTTCAAAAGGAAATAGTTTTGTTACGGAAAGTAATAAGCACAAACCTAAAAATGACAATAAAAATCAAGAGGCCGGTAAATCTCTTATTGCTAAAGACAATGGGGAAGCTCTTAGTAAACATGTCTGTGAGAGCCAGGATGGGTCTCTGCATGATTCTTACTTGGTTTCTCTACATGACCATTGCACCTTGTCACCAACCACTATCAATGACCACAGTACTAAAAGTCATTTATCCACTGAGAAGTCCAGACCAGAAGTGAGTCTTATTTACCAAGACATGAACCTAGCTACAAAAGGGCAAAGTATTGAGGCAGCCATTCAGGTAGATACTATGGGAGAGAATGTTCCAAAAAACTGCTTACCAGCCCTGTTGCTTCAGCACCTGGAAGCTTTTGTTCCTAATAATCATAAGAATCAGAATGGAATTGCTCAAACACCAGGTTCACTAGCAGATGTTGCATTCCCTTCTGCAGTATATAATTCATCCACTAATCTCCTTCTAGCTTGGCTCTTGGTACTAAACCTAAAGGGAAATGTGAATAGCTTCTGTCAGAGTGATGCTCATAAGATTACCAACAGATCTTCAGAAACAGTTGCGTTGTTGGAAGTTCTGAAGCACATTGCCATCACAGAGGAAGCTGATGACTTGAAGGCTGCTGTTGCCAACCTAGTGGAATCAACCAAAAATTGCTGTGAACCCAGTAAGAGAGAACAGGATACAGTACCAGCAAAATGTACTGCAGCCAGCATTCAGAGTGTTGTCAAGTGTAATGAAGATGAAAGAGCACAGAAGATGCTCTTGGATGAAGGCTTCTCCACCAGGGAGGACTGTGGCCCTGAGTTCTGTGTTTCAGAAATGATTGACAAGGCACGTAACTCTCCACCTGAGATGTGTACTGTGAATGTGACTGATCATCCAGAAGATACAGGTAACTCAAGCAATGGCTTTTTCACTAGTAAAAGCTATACTATAAGCCAGCCCTTCACAAATGATGCTTCTTTCCTAGGTGGGGCCTGTTTATTTACAGATGGTGTGTGTTCCCATAATGCTTGTGCTCAGAAGGGGAACATCAATGAGGCAGCTTGCTTGAGTGATGAGACTTACATTCCCACCAGAGTCTGCAAAACAATTGACTTTGTGAATTCAAAAGAAAACAAATGCAGTGATAATTTGGAATTAACTGAAGAACTCAAAACAGTTAATGACGTTCCAAAAGATCTAAATAGTTTGGCAGACCCTATGTATAAAAATGACTCTAATGTACCAATATCATCTCGAAATGTCAGTAACTTAAGCTCCTACGGTCTTTTCCTAAAAAAAACTGATCCAGATTTTGATAAGGAATGTAGTTCTCTAGAAGAATTTAAAAAATGCTCACTTAAGAAAATTGTGAATAAAAAGAAATATATGTCTTTTGATAAGGAAGAATCAAGGACGTCCGAAGAACCAGCATCAATAACCAATAGCATGACATCAGGTGAAAGAAATAACATTTCAGAATTAGAATCTTTTGAAGAATTAGAAAGCCAAGACCCAGACATTTTTAATATAAAAGTAAGTGCTAAAGAACAAACTATGGAGGAATCAATGCAAAAAGAATTAGAGGCTAACCTGAGTTTGAAATCGATACAGACATCATATG